TAAGAGGTGAATGAAACGAAATGAAAACCTCAAGGAACTGTTGTCGTCGAGCCGCAATGTCATCAGCTGTCTGACCTGCTCTCTTAATGAAGAAGTCTTCTACTTGAGCAAATGAGACATATATTGTAGCTAATAGCAAGATAACTACCCTCATCTGAAAAATCAAACGAAATGTTGCCAAAACTGAGTTAAACGAGAATATGAGTGGGAGAAGGGAGACAAAACATACACTCCAACCATAAACTATTGATGGAGATTTATCAAATACGAGTTTTCAACTAGTGGCCTCAAAAACACAGAGATAGGCAGAGGTTTAATTAGCACATGGTGGGTGATACATGGATTGAGAGAGAGAAAGATTGAAAACGAACTGTGAGCAAGGAAGTGTTTGGTTGAGCTGAGGATCCTTTTATGGCAATTTCCAGACGATACTGTATTCATGACGTGAAGTAGAAGCATGCTAACAATCATTTCAATTCAATTGCATTTCAATACAATCTGAGTCAAATATCAACAGTTGAGTGAAGAGAGAGAGAGAGATAGAGGGAGGGGAGGACATTAAGCAATAAAAGTATTTTCAAACAGTGTTAACATCTGAACTTGGGAATTCGTCAAATGTCTCAAATATGAATAAGCTATGAGAAGAATAAAGATTGGGAACACTTTCTTAGATTCCTTTCAATTGGCTTTCCAACAACGGTTCATCACATCTTACTCAATGACGTCATTGTTGTGAAAAATGAAAAGAAAAAATGAAATTTGATTTGAAAAAAAATATTTTTTTTCCATCATTTATAGACGTTTAGATGATGTTGAACATGGAGTGAAGGACAGAAAATGCGAAAAAATGAAGAGAAAATCTCCTTTTTATTTCATTTATTCTCTCTCTCTTCCTCTCTTGTCTCACCTCTCTATCTCTCTCTCTCTATCTCTCTTTCTCTCTTTGCAACTGTTCATTTGCATAAACATTCAAAGACTGTCTGAATCATATAATCATATGGACACTGTAATCTCTGCGTGGTTGCAACACAAGTCAAGGGTCAAAATGATGAATGAGAAATCGTCATATCCTCTGTTTTGCTCATTATCCTTCATTTGAAAATAGATTTCAGGTTAATCGTGTTGTTAGCTCATCTGTTACATCTGATTCATATCCGATTGATGTGTATGTGTCGATAGTTCACATGGCTTACAACCAATGTCTTCATCTTCATCATCATTGTCATCATCCTTCTCATCAACAATCAAAACATGCCATCTCAGTCAATCAACTTCATCGTTCACTTCTCCTAGTCATTTGCCACAGAAATTTTATTTCCTTTTTTGATATCACATGCATGCAGATTTCAGGTCAAATTAGTATGCAAATATGCCAAGAGGTTTGGATTATATCATCTCTTATATGGTAATGCACTTATTGCCGGGGGCATTCCTTTCAATTTGAATATTAAATTTTGATCAAATCGTCGTTTGCACGTACCCCAATCACACCAAGTTCAGTTTTCAATTGACCTTATCAATGGGTTTTTCCACTTCCGACATTTTCAAATCAGAATATTCACGTGAGAAGTACGTGGAAACGTCACGTGTTTTGACGGAAGTGTCTATTAAGACATTCATTTTCAATGTGAGATTCGCAAAGAGCGGTTGTATTCTTCTTCAGAGCTAATCGAAGTTCCCAGGAAAATGCACATGAATGCCTTATACAAATACCATTTCCTGGTCGTTTGCCATATTGGGAAACTCCGTATTCAGAATGCGTCATTGATATGCTAACTATACAGAAAGTGCTTCTTTCATTGTGCCACAATCACTGTTATTGTAGTGCATGTAGGACATATGGCTTCTAGCCTCACCAGGAAATGAACTTAAGTTTCTCCTCGTCAAACTTGTATTGCTGATTCAAAGGACATCTGAATCTTCTTAAATCATTTATTTATTGGAAATTAGACTGATTAGGTCATCAAGAGTAAACTCCAATTAATGTCATAAATCATAAAAGGCTCCGAGTTCCTACGATTTGACATAGAAAGACGTTCGTTCAATGCAAACTTCATCTTGCATAACAGGTTTGAGAGCGTTCGAAATACGGAAGACGAACAATTAGAATATTAGGAAACGAGGTTCTCAAAAAACGCTATTGTGAACGAAATTCTATTTTCAGGTCTTTGTAAAGGCTCTCGTTGTCGTTGTCTTTCGCCGACTGGATTGTTACAACCAAAGCTTCCTCATTCGTTTTGATTTTTCTTTTTTCTTTCTTCAAATTTGTTTTTTAAACAAGTAATTGAAAGTTTAAGTGGAAATCATGTGAGATAATTGTAAAATTAGAAGAAACGAACAAACGATAAGAGGAAGAGAGAGTATCTGAGAGAGATTACAGAGAGATAGAGAGAGAGAGAACAAGTCTGTTGGCGCCAAATGTATTTGCAATTGGTCAAAACCTTTCATGTTTAATTAGGATATCTAATGACCGATGAGTTCAACAACTGTCTCGCGAGAGAAAGAGAATTACATGTCGGACTCTTGAAAGTACAAGTTTTTCTTTTTTTTTCGTGAAAACCTAAGAATAACTGAAAGCTGTTATGATTGTGTTGGATTCTCGAGAAGGGTGTGAACATGCCACAAGAAGATCTTATCAATTGAGAAATTGAGCAAAAAGAAGTTCCAATGATCAATGTGATCAGTTAAAGCTTATTCACAGCCACCAAAAATATTATTTATGAGACGTTAACCTTTTTTTTTCTTTTCCATACGTCCTCTTCGCAATTTTTTGCCGTCCCATTTAGGTCTTTCTCACGTCGTCAATCCTACCAACTTTCGACGTACTATCTCTTCTGATGGACGGATGAACAATGATTTCGACCGGTTTGACCGGGCCAAGTTTTATTTTTCTGATAAACTGTATGTTTCCGATAACCCAATGCCGAATTGTGCCTAATCAACTCAGCCCTATATAAGAGCGACAGTTGGGAGAAAAGATACTTCTGAAGTCAAGGCAGCCTTCAGTCGGCAATCCTTTCACGTGGTTTACTACCTGATTACCACTTCCCTGTTGATACCCGTCAAACTCATCAGCCTTCCAATTACTTTGAAACTTTTTCAGATATGCAATTCTTCGTTGTCCTCTCTGTTGTAGCTGTAGCTGCTTTTGCTGCTCCACTTCCAGGAGACGAAGAGGATGCTAACCTTGTAAATATTAACTTTAAAGTTAATCTTACTTATCTACTATGTTAAGGGACTTGCCTGGCACGCTGCTGCCGGAGAAGTTAACTTCGGAAGAGTTGGAAGATTCTACGTCCCAAGACAAGTTTGTGTGCATCTCCTAGACCTAAATTATTCTCAACCTTCTAGGTTACCAACTTCAGCGTTTCTGACTCTGGATCAGCCAAAGAAACCGTTCTCGAAGTTATCTACCAAGAAAGTTGGTGCAGCACTGACGTGAGTTGTCAGAAGAGCACATCAGACTCTTCATGGAAGTACTCATGTCATCTAACCATTTATAGGAAGGAAACGATCTTGAAGATGTCTGTGAATCCATGTGCCCACTCTACCAAACTGGAGCTCAAGCTGTAAGTTCAGAGTGATAGCCATTAAAAAGCTCGAGAAAGAAGAGTGTGAAGTGAAGAGGTGAAACTAATGAAACTTCTCCGCCGTTTCCATTGTTTCTCTAACCCTCTTGAAAGACCATAATCTTTCATGCTTGTTTCTATCGTTCAGGGTCATATCATAAGGGAAACTGTTACTTTACGATGAATATCTCGTTTTTTACCTTTTTTTCCGAAACGTTCGTTTTGGAAATGTTAAAAAAGCATTTTGATTTATAGTGAAAAGATGAAATCGAAATATTCTTACGTACCCCCTTCGTCGTCATCATCATCATCAACTTCTTCTTTTCAGCTTTACAAGGTTACAACCACTGAATTCGCAGATGGAAATGAAGAAACTCATGCCGTCAAGATCAAGGATTTGTAAAAAGAATAATAAATACATGTTTTATATTTTAAAAAATAAAAAATTTTCAAAAATACATCTTTCTCCCTCTTTGAGCAAGTAGATACACAACCGTTCTCGATGGCATTGCAACAACAAATGAAATGTGAATAGGCATTTCACGTCATTTCCACGTGACATACCACGTCGTATACAACTCATTTAAACTTCTTTCATCTGCCCTCATTCCATATTCGGTTTTGATTATTCTGAAAGCATAACCCTTTTCACATGAAAGAAGAACTACGTCTTCGACTGAAATTTAAATAATTCAAAATCAGAGTTTGACTTACTAATTCAATTCATCTGAACTATCTGCAACCACTTTCATACCTAAAAAGGCTTTTTTTTCTGTTCCACTGCCATTGAAATGGAATTTAATAAGGATTGAATAGTGATACATCAAGCGGTTCCACCGACTATCAGAAAAACTGTTACAGACGACATGAAAAAGCTTCAGGATGATCAAGTTGGAGAAGTATAACAAGTGAACTTAGTCAGTCATCAGCCTTCCATGTGATGACAACATCAGTCCTCTTTGCCTTTCCTTATTTGTTCTCCTTCAATCTATTCACATTATGCTTCTTCAGGTAGCAACCAATCATGAAAGTTTTAATATTCGTTTTCTCTTACTGCCTCTTCCTTGCTATGGTAATGGCTGACCATGAGGATGACATAAAGGTTTTAACTTCATTGTCTGAACTTGCAAATGTTAGTGAAAACTTGACAAGAACTTTAGGAACTGGTAGGTTTTTTGAGTTCGTCATAGAAGATAATCTAATTACTTCAGAAAATGTTCTTTCTGAAATTCAATCAACCATTTCATTGCCAGAAGTTGAAACTTTGAGCGTTGTGAATGGTGGCCTACCTGCTGACGCTGACAGCATCAACTCTCAACTTCTCACTGATGTCAGGAGTGAAGATGTTGATAAGGTTGCCACAGATGAGTTCGTTACAACTGAAACTACTTTGGTCGAAACCACTACTCCATCCGCACCTGACAGTTTCGTGGATGAAAGCTTCTCTGAGAAAGTGTCTACGGATTCACAAGTCCAAGGTGAAGCTACTGTTGAAGCTAACGATATAGCTGGTACTCAATCTGCTGGATCAGTAACAAGTGCAGTTGAAGACGTTGAAGTAACAGAAGAACCAACTACTACAACAACAGAAGAGCCCACGACTACAACCACTGAAGGGCCAACAACAACAACTCTTCCATATATTGCTCCTTCAACAACAGAAGAAGCATTGTTGAATGCTGGATCGTACTCCGATATTTACTTTGACATTAATTCTGTGAGAGCTAAAGTGAGTATCCATTGGATGACAGTTTAGAAATGTACATATCGTTTCAGGTTGTGGCATGGAAGGCATTCCAGGAAGATATCAATGGTCGTCTGAATGGAGGAAACTGGTGGATTCCTCTCAAGGTAACATTCTCAATCTAATGCTTTGAGATTCACTTCCTTCTCAGGTCCTCGCGGGATCAGCACAAGTCGTGAACGGAGTTCAATATGAAATGAGAGTGGTGGGAGGACAATCAAACTGCACCCAAGAAGTAAGAATTGAAAAACAGATTTCGTATAGCCATACTATTCTCAGATGAATATCTGGGATATGATGCCTGAGAGATGCTCTTACGCTGAAGGAGGACGACGAGCTGTGAGTTGTTAGCAGTTACATCATGAATTATAAGAATACTTAATTTAGATTTTCAATATCATAACGTATGAGAAGAACTCAAGATGGACAGACTACTCGCCTATTCTCTCAAGATCATATTCCATTTTGATCCGAGAAGTCTATCCAGGAGAGGATATGGAGCAACTCTCATAGCTTTTTAAAACATTTTTATTATGTCCTTTACATCTATATATGTTATTATTAATTGTATAACAAGAGAAATCAAAGTTACAATGCTACATAGGCAGTTGTTGCTGAGGATGTTACAGATGATTCTTCTTTGACATCTTCATCTGCTACAGCAGATCCTTGAATCTCAATGTAATCATTCCTTTGTGCACATGAGCAATACTGAAACTTTTCATGAAATTCAATAAAAATTTTAAAATTTACAAGAGCATCTTCTCCTCTAGTTCCTGCTGGTCCAGCTGGACCCATATGACCTTCTGCTCCATTCATTCCTTGTAAACCTGGAAGACCTGGATATCCTTGTTTTCCTGCTAATCCAGGTTCTCCTTGAGATCCCCGAAGTCCAGGTTGGCCTTCTGGTCCTGATTCCCCAAATGCTCCCTTAATATTATAAATTTTAAAATACGTTTCCTGGTTGAGAGATACTTTAACTCCCTGTCTAGCAATATATCTCATGCCATCTAATCCGTTTTGCCCTCGTTCTCCGGCCTTTCCGTCCGGGCCAGTAATGCCTAATAAGGTTTTCGTATTATGTTGCTTTTTTCCTGAATTACCAGGAGGTCCTATCGGTCCGGGCCATCCTGGTTGGCCTGGAGTTCCTGGAGTTCCGGGTTGGCCTCGACCACCTCGCATTCCTCTTTTTCCTTTGTCACCAGGATTACCTGCTTCACCAGGTGGGCCAGGAGGACATCTATAGCATATTCTAGCTGGTCCCTAAAAGCATTGTGAATGAGGGTCGTAAGAAGTATCCAGATTACAGCTGGAGGCATAACATGAGCATCGAAGCCATCATAACCATCTACACCATCTATTCCGTTAACACCATCAGCTCCTTGGGCTCCTTGTCGTCCCCTTGGGCCAGCAGGACATGAATTCGTTGTAGAACATGCTGAATTCAAATTTGCATTTTCGAAAAAAAAACCCGAAGTATCAATTACAGCATTCAGCAGGAATTTTAGTGAGCACTTCAGCTGAGACATCAGCTGATTGAGAGTAACCACTCTCATCAGCAATGACCTTCTGAACATCACGTCTGAGCCTTCGAATATAAACTTCGTTCTTTCCAAGTTCAACAACTGATTTCCATAGATCATCAGTCTCTTCCTTAAAGATGATAAGTATGATTGAAAGTAGATGTGACAACCTTCAAGTTTGATAGCTGATCATCAAGTTCATTCCATAGATGAGTGATCTCCTTAGTTATAGTACATGAGATGACTATCAACAGTAGAAGTGTTACAAATGAAACAAATAATCCAAAAATCACAATAGATTTGCTCATTATGGATAAGGAAGAAGAGTCTAGCAGAGAGTGAACTAGAAGAGATCGAACCTTATATAGCAGATAACCTTTATCTAGGTCTCCATGTTAATTATCCTAAAATGGCTGTGTAAATGAGATTGAGTCCCTCTTCCAACGTTTTTTATGATTTTTATGTCTTTTTCTCGATTGTCCGTTTGTGTTAAAAGAACATTTCCTTTCATTTTCATTGTGTTATGCAAGTTAAACAAGATGAAACAAACGGATCTTTATGACTGTTTGGACACTTTTATCCTTCAGAATACCCCCTTTCTCTTCTCCTACTCCCCCCCCCTCTATCCACCATTCAAATGAACTGGAAATGCGCTCAGCTTTTATTTCCTTTTTTGTTTCGAAAAAAAAAATTTTTTTTTTACTCTCTTTCTGTCTCTCTCGATATCAGAAGATCATCAAAACTTTTCAAAATTATAGTTTTATCGATCGATAGTGAACTTTCCTTTATCTTCACTCTTTTCTCTCCCTCTCTCTCTCTCTCTTTCTCTCTCACTTCACCTTTACCTATACCATTTCTCTCTCTCTCACTTCCTCTCCTGCTTTCCCTTTCTCTTTGTATTGTCATCATTTGGTCTTTCTGTTTTCCATAAAAGTATTATCTTCAACTTCTTCTTCTCATAAAGCTAAGCATAAGCAATGGCAGATGAGGTTGATCATTATGGTTCATGCCATTGTCAGGCTGTTAAATGGAAAGTCAAAGCACCACGACATCTGATATGCATTGAATGCAAGTGAGTTTTTCCAATTCTTAATGTGCTCCTTTATGTATTTGTGTTCATTTAAGTTGTTCTGTTTGTAATAAGAAAGCCAATGATCATGTTATCGTCGAGAAATCTCGTTTCACACTGATTCAGGTTGGAATAGAGAGAGAGAGAGAGCATGTATAGTTAAGTAAATCAATATAATTTTATAATAATTAGGGTGAAGAGTCATTGACTACATATACATTCAACACTCACAAAGCTAAACATCGTTTCTGCAAGATATGTGGAGTTCAAAGCTTTTACATTCCACGTTCAAATCCAGATAGTATTGGTATGTTGTTCATCTATCTTCATTACTCTCTTCTAATTATATTGTAATCAATTCAGCTGTTTCTCCTCGTTGTATTGATTCTGATACCCTGGAAACAGTCGAAAAAACATATTTTGATGGTCAGAATTGGGAAAAAGAAATGCAAACGAAAGCTCCTGTTGCCTTATAAATGTATTTTGGATGAAGATGAGAACAGGCGGCGCAAAAAACAATAATTGAAAGAGATAAGATTGTTATTTAGAAGACGATAAGAAACGATAAAGAATTGACTTTGATGATTTCTACAACCTTATATGTACAATATGCTAATTACACGTGGAATACGTGTAACACGTGACAACAAATCATTTTAATGATGAGAGACGCTACAGATCGGTTGCATACATGAAAGGAGGGGTCGAATGAGAAACTTCTTAGTTCATGTACCTTGTGTTTGGAACATGTTCAACGTTTTTGGTTATTTGAGAGAGATAGACAAGCATTATGAACGTTGAGGTTTTGCAAAAGTTTGAATAAGGTTTTTGGGAAAGTCAATTTGGCTGTTGAAAACTTCATTGAAGAAATAAGGTTTGAAGGAAGTTATAGTCGACGAACTTGTTCGATAAGTCATTACTTCAAATGGAAATGAAGGATTCCCACTTCCATCACTGTGTATATTATACAAGAAGAGAGGGAGGGAGGGGGGGGATCATGTTGTAAAAGGCTTTGTTGGTCTTTCTGCTTCAACGACTTTCATCAAAAATGAATTGAGTTGATCTCTCTGTTTTGCTCATTTATGATTTGTCGTTGTTAATCTCGAAAGTCAGCCAATGAAGCTTCTCATCTCATGAGGAAGCAATCTGTTTAAAACGTTTTTGACTAAGTTTGAACTTTGTTTTTTTATTTGAATACTTAAACAAATGAACTGATCTCACTCTTCCTCCCTCTTTCTCACTCTTCTCTCAGTGCTTGTTCATCCAACTCGGAGGAAGAACAAACGAAAGATCCTGACCAACTCAGTTTATCATGGTGCACTCTTAGCTAGCTGTTGCCATCGTTGGTATCGTTCGTTCACTATGAAAACGAATATGGGTTCAGATATTTTCTCTTCTACTGCATTAACAATTGTGATATTCTTCATTGAATATTTATAGTTCATTCACCCTTTACAATGACTTCCCTAAGATTCGTTGAGTTCAAATGTTCAGTCATTCGAAGACTGAAGACGAAGCCGAAGATGAAGAAGCTCACCTCATGAATACCACAATCCTTCTTCCTTCTTCCGTTTCTCATTTTTGACGCTGAGGATTGCGACGATTTTTTTGTGAATTTCCTTCCATCATTAGCATCTTCCTCTCTCTCTCTCTCTGTATATTCATTCGTTTCTCTCCTAAAACGTCATTCCAACCTTCCAACAGATTGGGCCAAATGCTTAAGTGTCCTTTAAAAAACCAAAGATGTTCTTAATTATTATTGAATACATTAATATGGCTGACTAATCAGATTACCAGCAAACATTCCATTAATTTGTTGGACGTTTCTCTCTTTCCGTTAGCCTTAGCAAAGAGAATCTGTGTGAGATTATGAAAACACACGTTACTTCTAGTCTCTTTTGGACCCTAATTTGGATAATTTCCATCTCTCTGTCTCTCTCTCTCTCTTTCTCTCTCTATCTCTTTGTTGCTTCTATTGTACACACAAACTTCCATATACAAGTCTCAAATCTATTTTTCATCCTTTTTAGTCCTCTTTTTCACAACTTTTTACTTTTCCAGTCTTCTCTCCATCTCCATCAACTCATAGAGCTCCTGTTATGGAAGGATCATTTGATATCTTTCGCCCAATATTCCTGTTTTTCCTTATTGCCAAAAAAATTCAGAAAAAGAAAAACTTTGAGATTTCTCAAAAACTCCAATTGGTTCTCTCCCACCTTCCTTCTCTTCCCTCCCTCTCTCTCTCTCTCTCTCTCTCTAGACTCATTTTATTATTAATCCATCTCCAACTCTCTCTCTCTCTCTCTCCTTATTTGGTTTATTCACAATCTTCCAAATAATCATAGTCTCACCTCGTCAACAAATATGGAAACCGAGAACCTATTTCTACCTAACCTTATAAAGTAATAATGACAACTGCATAGGTAATTCGTGTATTCTGAGAAGCCGAGTATTACTTTCCCCCATGTGTTTCGTTGTTTCCATCCAATTCTCAAGATGCTAATGATCTTTCCCTCATCATCCCTTTCAGATAAACAATTGATTCGGTCACCACTACCACAACCAGCATCACAGAAACAAAACAGAATTTTTAAATTTATTTTGTTTCTTCCCACACAAATCCCTTGTTGCCATTCTCATTTTTTAAAATCAACGTAAGTTTCGTTGGATGGCAGTCATTCGTTTCGTTTTATGGTGCTGTGACCAAATTCCATTTTTTTCTCTTAAAATCATTTGTTTTCCTTCTTCTCCTCTTCTTCATTGATATTTACCGAAAAGACGAAAAAGTTTATTCTCTCCTCCTTTGGCAGCACCTCCCCCCCCTACACACCACCCTTCTCTCACTGTTCATCAATTTCAATTCATCCATGTATTATCATGGGGCTTCTGTGTCATGGAACAGTCATGTTCCAGATAGTGCAGATGACGAATTGAAACTCTTGCATCTTGACATAGTGAAGATGAACCGAGCATGTTCATCGTTCACCGCACTCAGTCAACTTATATCTGATGATTACGAAGATAAAAAAAACATCCTGAGGGCTAGAGTAACCAAACATCTTGTGTCTCCACCTACGTATGCACTACACGTGAGGTAATCATTCACAACTTTGCAAGAAACTCGTGTATCCCTTGCGTAAGCGATGCATCCGTATGCCATTGTGATATACGGAAGATTCACAGATCATCTTCATGATCATCTATAGCATCATGTTTATACTCATGGGAATTGCTCTCATCAATGAAGCTCAGTCTATTTTTCAAAAACGACTTGACAGATGAACTTGTGCATTGGTTAGTTTTACAAATTAGGAAAGAGCATCATTTCAATTAGACATTGACTCAATTATGCGTGCGAAGTTAAAAGGTGAAGGATGAGCATAAGAGATGAAAGAACAACGTCTGGAGGTCGTTGAACTTTAAAAACTATGAGGTTTCAAGACTTAATTGCTAAGTTGGTCTTAAACATATCCTCAAGCTATGACAGAGTGAGAGAAAGTAAGATCCGTAAAGTAAATATATGTATTGATTACTTGACTAATTATAAATTATGATTTTGTCTTAATCTGTTTGTTTATGCTTTCTTCCACGTCTTCTTCTCCTTCCTGCAAATAATCCGGTCGAATTTGAATTTTAATTTAGAAAAACACAACAAGTCTGTAGATGTTTCGAAAGCTTAAGAATATTCTTTTTTTTGGTAGTTTCTTTCTAATTTTGAAATATTGATTTATGCCACTCGAAAGCACGGGAAAGACATGTTGTGAGGTTCATCTCTCTTGTATGTATGTATGGGTATAGCGCTGGATGTAGTTCGGGCATGTTCGGTTAGTTTTCACTCTCTTCTCTTTGACAGTTTTCAGAAGTGAAACTATCATTTCTCAATCACTACCCATCAAGTGAAGCTGTCAGATGAGGGTTGAAATAAAAATATTTTCAAAGAAGTATTCAGGAGACTGTCATGAGAGGATGAAGCTGCAGGAAGACAATAGAAAGACTATTGATATGCGAGAGTGATGCTGAGAATGAGAGTAAAGAAACTGAGTAGAATGGAAGAGGATAGAAGAAGATGAAGCAGAGGCAAGAGTAGGAGGATAAATTCGAACGAAAGAGATATACCACAAGCGAGAAAATATACTCAGAAGGCTTGAATGAATTAGGATTCTCCATTATTGTACATCTATAACAGGCAGCTGCCCCATGCTGTCGTCACGCTCCGAAAGATTCAATTCAACTGCTAAATCCTAGTCTTTCTTTTAAAAAATCATTTTCTCTCTCTCAACAACTTTCTCAATTGATTTGTTGTATTCGCTTGGTTGTCTTGCTTTGCTCAGCTTGTCCCTCCCTCCCTTCCAATTGTAATTTGAGCATATTACCTTTGTATTGAAGAAAAGATAAGAAAGTTTCAATATTACATGTATGTATGTAGCAACTGATGGCGAGCGTTGAGATGAAATAACATTTCGTTTTGTGATTCCGAAAATAGATTACGCTCATAAGAGCACGACCGCTCATTCAGCTTCGAAAGCTCACAATAAAAAATGCACGTGCATCATTGAAATCCTTTGAGGTCCATTGTCTAAGATTTTGAATCAATTTTCATGCGATTGAATTAATTTTTCAAATAGATTAATGATTTTATAGAATTTGAATGAATCCGTAGAGAATATTTGATTTGATGATTTCCCTTTCATTGCTCCTTCCTCATTCATTGTATGAAATGCTGTGCCAAGATGTATTGGTGTGACTATCCGCAAGCTACGACGACAACAATCAAAAGACGTTTTTATTATTTCAAAATTATTTTCTTTCCATACAAATGCTTATTGTGATGAAGATGATGAGGATGATGAGGATGAACTTCCTCATTGAAAAAGGAAATCTATAAGAATAGCCATTGGCTCATCTTCATATGTCGAGTGATGATGAGAATGATGCTGTACGACGAAGAATGTATGTCAAAATAGGAAGTAAAAAGGCGATTGAGTGAAAGATGAAGCTGAGATTAGTCAATGAGATGACGTGTGAAACCAAAAGACCGATGTGTCAAGTTGGAATAAGAAAGAGAGAATAACGATTGATAAGAAGAGATTAGTTGATGTTTAACAGAGAGATGACTTTTCAAGAACAGCTGTTCTCTCTTTGAATATATTCAGTAAAACATTCAAAAATTCTTACCTTTCGTACATTCAGAATCCATCTATTGTAAGATGTCTATAGAGATTCATCCATCTTCCTTTATCTTCAACGAAGAATTTGTCATTTTTGGCTAAACGAAGCATCTTCACGTTGAATATCTAAGAGAAGTCCATGATATTCTCAATTCTTCTTCTTCTTCATCTTCATCTTCTCCTATGTCTGCTTCTTCTTCCTTCTTCTTCTTCTCTCATTCAACTTCTCTTCCTCTTTGTCAACTATATATGAAGAATATCATCATCATCAGCTCAATAACCTTATAAAGTAAAGAATAGATTGCATAACCTTCATCTTCTCCGGATAAACATTTCTATTTTGCTCTCAATACTCTTTCCTCTTAATCTAAATATTTTCCATTTGACGTACTTTACAATGGTTTAGAGATTAGAAAGAACGTGATATGTACCTAGAACAGAAGAATCTCATTCAAGATATGTACATATGACACATTTGGAATGGAAAAGAGGCGGATATAGAGAGGATGATAGTTGTTTTCTTAGCTCCTCCAAACCCCACCCCACTTCTTCATCTAATATTATCTATTTCATATGAGTATTGCTCTATTGTCTATCAGCTGTTACGTGTAACAGTAGAATATATGGGTTTAAGCTTCACGTGTTTCTCTCTCTCTCTCTATCCTTCTATCCATCACGTACATTTTCATTTTCATATTGTTGACGTTCAAAGGACGGTTGTCTATGCTCTTCTTTTCCAACTTCTTAGTGTCTCATAGCTCATTCTCTCTCTCTCTCTCTTCTATTCTCTCTCTCTCTCTCTCTATATCTTAAGGATATGATTAATTTCCTTCATAATTATTATTTTTTAATGATTTATTATATTGTTTTGGCATGAAATCTTCTGATATTAGCCATTATCTCGTATTTCTTCCTTTTCATTTGACAAAAAAATTTTTTTTAAATTTTTTCTTCGAAACATACCATTTGGGACTGAAAACATGTTATGATTATTGTGGAAAGTTGTCTGCAGTTTGTCGTCTGTGTGTATATACAAACACACTTCTCCTTCAATACTTGCTCAACTTCCTCTTCACTCTCTCTCTGTCTAGATGTCTCATCAAGAGATTGAACTGTTTCAATGAAACTGTCTGATATGCTTATTCGAATAACAATCTCATATACCATATATATATAATTAATCTTGCTCAATATAACAATCTTTTCAGAAAAATGTCTGATCTGGAGAATACGTGTTCACGTAATGAATCCTATGATTTCACAAGATATGCACTGATCGTCTATGTTGGAACTCCAATAGCCATTGCTGGAGTTATTTGTAATTTCTTTCTACTGGTATACTCCCTTATATATATATTTATATTATTTGTAAAATGATTACAGAGGTTATTCTCGAAGACGCGTTCTCGTAAATCCCCAACACTTTATCTTTTAGTTTTGGCTGTTTTAGGTAAGACAGAGAGAGAGATTAGTCTGTTGATCTTTCTCAATCCCTTTGTTTCAAGATATGTTAATGGATCTTCTATATATCCCTTTTTTTACCGTTGATGCTCTGGCTATTTATCATGAAAATGAGACTCTATACCATTTATGGCATGTTTATGCCATGTTCTTATTTGGAACAAGCCGATTGGGTAAGGATGAAACATCGCATCTCTCTTCCATCAAAAAGCCATTAATTACAGTTCAATTTGCTTCAACGTACATCATACTCTGTGCAACTATTGAGCGTTTCATCGTTGTAGCTGAGATATCTTCATTAGATTTCCTTATTACGTATGTTTCATTCATCATCTATCACATTCCTTGTATGATCTCATACACATAGCCACATGCTTAGAATGAGAGTGGGAAGTGAAAAAATGAAAATACGGAACACAAAATGTCTTCCGCGTGTGAGAAGGACAGAGATTTGTTTTCCAGCTCAACCGTTCAGCTCGAATATCAAAAAATAAATGAGAATGATTAAAATCAGGGGGATGAAAGCATAGCCATAGTGATCACGTGGGTACACGTGCACGCAGTTTTCACGTAACCAAATTTAAACCTATGAATTAGCATATGTTGCAGAGAGAACGGACGGTACATAACGATTAGCGTTGTGCTCTTCGCTGTATTCTTACTTCGCTTGCCAGCCTTCTTTGAGTATTACATAACATATCGAGCAGATTGTCCAATTTACATGGTAAAGCCATATAAGTGAAGAGATATAAGCAGAGAAAGTAATTTCAGAGCTATGATTACGTTCCGTTATTAGCGGGATGGGAGCATTACCAACTGTTCAACTTCTATGTCATGACTATTCTTCATATTTTCGTACCATTTGCTATACTCCTACTACTCAACATCTCCATTGTGGCTGTCACAAAACGAAAACTGCGAGGTATTGGATGGGCTGTCACAACATTCATCGACATGCCTAAAGTATCAGAATTAATACGGAAAGGTAGAATATCATTTATCTATATCTATACTTAGATAATCATATGTAATAGTATATTTCCTTTTATACAATTATGTCTATCAAACCTATCATATTCTTTCCATTTTCCTTTCTATCACTATCTAGTTGGAAGAGGTCTTAAATGATATTTATCGATGAATTCGTTGGCAACAAGCTCTTTCTGTCATTTTCAACCGTTTGGGTCTTTCAGAATCGATGTCTTCATCGAAAAAACGAAGAGATGAACTTCGTTGTGCGACATGGACTATGGTAAGCATTGCAACAACATACTTATGTTGTTCTTCGCTATCATTCTTTATATCTGTTATGGAGAATATCTTTACGAACAATACACTTCTTATAAACGAGGATGGCAGCAGGTGATATCCATATACAGCAACATCAAAGATTATCAATCATTTTAGTACGACATTCTATACATTAGCCTCAGATGCTGTCAGCATTCTAGTTGCAGTGAATAGTCTTCTTCGTTTATTCGTTTATCTCCTTTGCAGTCCAACTTTCAGGTTTACTACTATCAACCTGTTCATTGAAATATTTATAATTGTATTTATAGGACACAGCTTTTGCAAGAATTTCCGATTTTCCATTTGTGCATATGTTCGTGGCATAAGAAACGTGTGGAGAAAGTTGATGCCAAATACCAAAACCTAGCATATCAAAACTTAATGATACCTTGTCCACAAGCCGAAGTTATATGAGCAGATCATCAATTGATAGGAGCCAATCAAGAACCATTTCAATTCCCTTTGCATTTATAAAATGATCTTTCAATAAAGAATTGTACAGTGTGTTAATACAGTCAGTCGAAATGTTTTTTTATTATTTATAACCAATAGAGGAAGCGATTTCAGTTTTTGCCATCAGCTTGCTTTTCGTGATAGAAATTGACATCTGCTTCCGTGTTCTGTACCTTTCAAGAACTCCAGGTTGTTGCTTTTCAGATGTTTTCGTTATTTCTTGCATTTGTTTTCGTTTATCCTTCATATCATCAAGTTCTGTCGAACCTCTGTTTACCTGAGCATTCAACTAGGTTAGACAAGGTTTCATAATCAAAAGGAGTGTCAAACGGAAGACTTATTATTATTTTATACAACGGACGTGGGGAAAGCAACCTAATCCTGAATCACCAAACCGACTTAGAACGAAAGAAATGAGGTTAAAAGTGCCATACTAACGGACTACTTGGTAATAGGTAGCAGGTTTGACTTTTTCGTTCTGTATGAGAAAATGCGAGAGTTAATATTATTTCTTGATGAATTGAGATCTCGTATTCAAACAATAATTATGTAATAGAATTGTCTTGTTCAGCTTATTCTATCATTCAAATGGAGCAAAGCAAGAAAGAGTTCTCGTCCCGGCTTCTAATCTTTCAAGGTGAAGTGATTCATCTCTTACTTACCAGCCTCGTGATCCACATCACCGAACTCTGAAGGTTCGAGGGAGAGTTGTCTGAACTGCATAGATTCTGATGCGGCTTGAAGTCTTGTTTATATGTTCACTTCCGAAAGTGTGAGTTTCTACTGTTT